CGAACCGAGAAACGTTACAGTGAACAAGCATTTGGAAAGATGATTCCATGAAACTCGCATGATTTTCCGGATTTCTTAGGTTTTCTGGTATAATTATAGGTAGCGAATATCACAAACCGGTCCTTCTGGTCTGGTTATTTGCTGGTCGTTGTTTTTGTTATGGTTTTCAATTCGGTCGCTGTTGCTGTTTCTGTNCTGTTCTTTCGGTTTATTCACGTGGTTCCAGTTTGACCCTCGAATTGTGTGCCCGTTCTTCTACAGTCACCTTCGCAGACGGTCACTGACTGATTGTCCGCCTTCCGTTTGTGTGTTCCGCAACCGGTTCCCGTGTCCCGAATGATGAAACACACACTCACAACTGCACGTTGAAATACGGACACAAATTGTTTGAAAATCGAATTCTCTGATTGGCTCTCCTGGTCAAACGGAAGCAAGAACCAAATGTGTGCTGCCTGGCTTACGTGTGCCCACGTGTGTTTGCGTGCGTGTGTGCGTGCGTGCTTACGCACATGCCTTTGGTGCCAAACTGTGCATCCAATGCCGAAAGTCCTCTCACCCTGAAACTCTGAAAGCGTAGCTTTCTTTTTGACGGAGTAATTAAGTTAGGCCCCGTCCGGTTCGGTTTCCTAGGCTCCGCCTGCCGAACTGCCGACCGGATGGATGATGGTATCTGCACTCTCTCACTGTCTCTCTCTCTCTCGTTCTCTCCAGCTCCGTTCGTGGCTCGACCTGAACAAAAGTTTTGCTACTATAGTCACACCATTCGCATGTGTCTGTGAGTAGGAGATCTGACGTGGCATTCTGGTTATTAAAGCTCAGTCGTGATGTACACGTGTTCGGAACCACTGTTCCTTCTCATTCAAGTCTATGTAGCGCACGTAACTGCACCACATACACAACCACGATAACAGACCATTTACACAGTGCAGCATGGGAACAACCTCGGGGTATGCATACGCACCTGTTGTAGCTCGAACTAAGCATATGCTGTTGAACGAAAAAAAGAGAACAACCGTTTGACATTTGCTTCTGTCCGTTCTTCTCCTTTGTCTTCCACGGATTTCCCGCTTGCCTGGACCGGACCGGACCTTGGTGAACTGGCATCCCCTAATCCCGCGGTCCGATTCGCAACCGTTACCCCGTGCTAATCGGTCGGATCTGTCGTTCGGCCGTGGTTGTGCTTGCGTGTGTGTGTATGTGTATATCATCACTTTCGTTCAATGGAACATGCCACGCTCGGACAAACGGACTACCGGGGCCATTCTTTTGCGACGGCACGCACCACAACGGTCCCGGATCTGAATGCGGGATCGGACGACACAAACTCGGATATCACCTCGATGTTGACCACACCCAGGACGCGAACAAACGGTGGTCCGTTTCTTCGACTACCTCGAGCCATTCTGAATGCACAAACCCTTGGCGATTTGGAGGAGATTAATACTCAGGGTGTGGGTGAGTTGGATTTGTTCACGGTCTATTTGCGTTGAATGCTGATTGCACGGGCTCATAAATGTAATCAGTTTATAGTTCCCGGTCTCCCGTACGTTTTGTCTCCATACCAAATATAATAGGATAGCTGAGCTTATGTGGGGACACTGAATGGGTCTTGATTTCAATAAACCCGCGATTGCCACTATTTCAGTCTTTATGTTCACAGTCAACAAATTCATTCATAGCCGGTAGACCAAGTAGCAATGTTATCGGTGCTATTTTGCCCAACTTGGATAGTTAGTTATTTTGCTAATATACTCGCTGAGGGATACTCCCAGTAAACAGGATGCGAGCATTGCAACGCATCGTCGCGTGCTGAACAATGGACAAGGTAAGATATGGTTATGAGGGCTGCTAACATCAGACTGGGTACTTGAAACAGCGATCGTCATGCGACCTCGTTGGTATGAAAATAGTAATGGGGAGAAAAAAATTAAGTTCCTGTTTACCCGGAAATAAGACTATCTGATTTCATCGGTGTGAACTGTTCAGCAATTAGGTAAATCGCTTCAAATACAGACTGAAATATTTTCGTTTCCTGTGGAAATCTAGTTGATCTTGACCGCGCTCATTCGGCAATGGCGTGGCAAAGCATAGGAGAATTGATTGATTGTATCAAATGTGACACGACATCAATGTGATCTTTTCAAAATGTGTTCAGCTAGATTGGGGCTGAAAAGGAATCAAGGGACACATTCCAGTAAGATGCTGATCTATGAGGAAGTGACAAATTTATTTCTGGGTGTTTTCTGTGTGGCCTGTCGAAATTGGATACCTTCTGGCGTAGATCAGTGAATGCACATTGACCAAAAGAACTCATAACGACTGATTGTTGTGAAACTCGAAACAACGGATTGTTACCAGCCACCTATTCGTTTGAATTGATACAGAGCGAGGATGTATGTGAGCGAGCGCAAAGAAGAAACGTGGCCAAATTCTTGTGAATGTTATAATGTTAATTGCACCAGTCAGATTACTCTGGGAAAAAGCTTGCTAACTGGATCAATCATCCTGCAGTCAATCAACGTTGTCTACCATATAACGTGGTTCCCAAATCTCTCCGTTTGATTCCCCCCCCCCCCC